AACAAGGCGCAACCCGACCTGCACTCACCTCACCGCGGAACTCCATTTAACTCGAGTCTTTTCAAACACAAGATAGCGGCTTATGGGCACACCATGGCAGGCAGCTTCACACCGACCCCAAACAAACGGGCTCGTCGAGTGGGCTAGTCGCACCACTGCTGATATATTGTACGCATGCGTTAATACTTCACGCGGCTCTTTGACTGTGTATGTGCCATGCGCATCGTTTGCTTCGAACACGTCACAACAGGCGAGTGATGCGACGACCCCATTTAATCCGGTGTATTGTAGAACTCCGGTTTTTCTTAAGCGTCAGAAAGTATCCCCCATGTGGACCCAGAGATGGCAAGAGATGAGTGCCCATTTTGAGCACCGACTTGACGAGGCCCGACGCCATGTTCGCGTCGCGATACCCAGAGCCCAGCAGCGGAACTGATCAAGCACCATCCGGAGGGTCGAATGTCTCCCTGAGCACCCGACGACCTCGTTCTCGCACGTTATTCGGTCACAAGGAAAAAAAGAGCGACGAAGGTACTTCCAAAATGTAAGAAACCCTGCGAAGTGCTTCGGCAGACAGGGCCCATGAGCTACTGGCAACGAAATATCAATGCAGCTCGAAACCCATCCATGCCTCTTCAGGCGCACTGTAGTCAACTAAAGTTTTATGTGTCGAGGTACACACGTAATCAAGACTAGCATGTGACCTGCCGAGGACGGACTGTAGGTCAGGAGTGAGAAAGTGCAGCAAAAGAAAGCGAAAGGCTCTACGAGCTAAAGTGAGTAAATGTGGGGCTAGAAAAAAAGGGAAAAAGAACCTGGGTGAAAAACAAAGGTCCGAAGGAAGTAGAGCAACAGAAAAACGAACGGTAACTGTATATTTCTGAGTAGCGATGTGGGCGAGTTGGTTCATGCTTAGAAATAATGGAAACAGCGCGCAAACGACAAGGACGGGAGGAAAAGGAGTACACAGGACGAGCGCTGAAAACAAGTAAAAGGGCCCACCGTAGAAGAGATGAACTGAATCAGAGTAGCGATGTGGGCGAGTTGGTTCATGCTTAGAAATAATGGAAACAGCGCGCAAACGACAAGGACGGGAGGAAAAGGAGTACACAGGACGAGCGCTGAAAACAAGTAAAAGGGTGATAGACGCTCTAAGCATCCCAACAAACACAAAACCACAAACGTGCGTAGCTTATTTCCTCGTTAAAGACGTGTTCAAAAATCGCGACACGCCCTTTTTGAGAAGAATTTTCTGCTCACTGAAGTAGCCGACCAAGGGCGCATTTCGGCGTGTTGCAAGCGATGGCTTCGCCCGCGGATAAAAGAGGAGTGTTATTCGAATGTCTACCTATGAGACTCTCTTCAAAACCAGTCATAATATAATCATTCGGAGTCTGCGCGTATTGCGGACTACATTGTTTACACAATGTAGTCTGCTTTTAAGCATCTTGAGATTGTCCTTTTGTGGTGATAGACGCTCTAAGCATCCCAACAAACACAAAACCACAAACGTGCGTAGCTTATTTCCTCGTTAAAGACGTGTTCAAAAATCGCGACACAAAAATCAAGGTAACTGAACTTAACTTCCAGAAAGGTAAGAAGAAAAGTGGATAAAACTATTTTGCGATACCTCTGGCGCTAGAAATTCCAGCTGTAGTGTCGATAACGAAAACCAGGGCTCTGAAACATTGTCTGGGACATTCTTGATCTTAAATGCTTCTATTATTTCTCGCGCATACTAGTCCTTCTGTGACGCAAGCACTGTAGTATTTTCATAGCTAGGGTGTGCAATCATGGCAGGTGCAAACGTGCACAACAATTGGATGGTACGAGTCGGGTGATGCCTTGTTCACTTCGAGAAAGTGTTCCCTAAGGCGAAACTTCAGGCTTCGTCCCGTCTGGCCGATGTATTGACTGCCACAGCTGAGTGGAATAAATTGGCTTCACTTGGCCCTTAACGCATTCGTTGAAGTGATTGATGCCCATTCTGGTAGAAGACTTTCGTTATTCACACGTTGGCATTTGTTTTAGCTTCCTCTTACATGTGAAGACCACCTTGGTATCGAACCCAGCAGCGAGACGCTTCAGCCCGTGGGCAGTACTATGCACTATGAATTGCAAGGCGGCCGTGTGTGGCTGTGTCCTTTGTTGTTAGATGAAGGACGGTCGGGGTCTGTGATGAGACGCTGGAGGGTAGTACGTAGGAGGTCTGCCGGCTATTCGGCTTAGAGAAGTCGGTCATGTTGACGTTGGACGTTGGCGAATGAGAGGTGGGGACAGGAGTTTGAAGGAGAAGAGGTAATTAGCGTTCAAATAATTCCAAGCTTTAACAACTTACAGTGGTTGCGGCGAAAAAAGAGAACCGGTTTTTTGAACCGTTTCTTAAGGATGAAGATGAAGTCTTAAATCCAGATACTTTAATGTTTCAATATTTGTTTCTTCAATCGTAAACTTAGGACCCGACGAGCAGAAATCGAATGCTTCATAAATGCCCCGTGAAGAGTTATAGGACGGATGAATAACAAGATAATCATCTACGTATCGATACACGCGGCATTCGGGGGAGAAAATATCCAGTCGGGATTTATCTGATCGGTCTACGTACATAGGAACTACACTGAGTACGGGGGCTAGGCAGGAGTCTATACAAACACCTTTCTTTTGCCTCAATATTTTGTCGTTGTATTCAACGAGAGTTGACTGAAGGTACAGGGCAAGGAGATCTCAGAAGTTCTTTGCGGTGGTCTCTGAGGTGTTTTGTGAAACTTAAAAACACCGTGCTTACAGATTGCATCAGATACGTAAATCAAGAAAAATAGGAGATCAGGACTGTAGTTAAACTCTTTTATATACAAAGAAAACATAGGGTGCGGCTAGGTAGTGGAGTGTAGGGAAGTAAAGTGCAGGATGATTTCTGTGGAGTTTTAAATCCTAAAGGGCTGGAGGAGTGTCATCGTGGAGAAATGATTCTGTAGAAATATGGCCAAATGTTTCTACTAGCAACCTCTTACAGGTGCAATGCTCCGAAGCGTAATGCCTTCTCTAGCTGTAAAAAATACGGTACAATATTGTTTACAGGTGATCCGTAAAGTATTGTTTTGCAGGTGATCCCTCGGAGAAATATTTTCGTGCAGGTGTTTTGCATGTGGTCCGTAAAGGACTTCACAGACGTACTTGCCTAGTGCCTTAAGTCAACTATCGTTGAATACAACGGCAAAAATAGTAAGGCAAAAAAGTTGTTTATACAGGCTCGTTCCTAGCTGCGGTACTCAGTAAAGTTTTTCTCATGCTCTTAGGCCAAACAGTTAAATCCTGACTGAATGTTTTCGCCCCCGAATGCCGCGTGTATCCATACGTAGATGATTGCCTTGTTATTCATCCGACCTCCATCTCTTCACGGCCGATTTTGAAGCATTTCATTCCGGCTCGTTGTGTCTTACGTTTACGATAGAAGAACCAACAGTCCAGGGATAACAGTTCCCGCATTTAAGATTTCATCTTCATTCTCAAGGCACATGCTAGGTTTTCCAGCAATAATAAAAAAAAATCGGCTCTACCTTTTTGCAGCAACCACTCTAAGTCGGTAAAACTTGGAAATATTCGAACACTGTTCGCCTCTTCGCGTTGAAAATCGTGTCCCCACCTCTAATCAGCAAGCGCCCAACGCCAGCATGAACGACTTCTCCAAACTGGGTACCCAGCAAACCTCCACCGTACTACTCTTCAGCGTCTCATCAGATACCAACTGTCCTTAATCTAACAACAAAGGACACAGGCACACACGCCCGGCTTGCGTTCCATACGTACGTAATACTGCTCACAGACTTAAATGTCTCACTGCTCGGTTCGATGTGAACTTGGTCTTACATGTGAGATGAAGCCCAGTATAATCCACCACAGAGTGAATGACGAAAGTCGCCCACCAGAATGCACCATAAATCACCCCAACAAATTCGTTACATGCCCAAAAAATCCATTTTATTCTATTTCGCTTAGTTGTCGCACCCAATCAATTGGCCAAACGGGCGATGCCTGAACATTCGCCTCGGGCAACACTTTCTCGAAGTGAACGTGTCACTAGACACTTACGATCCAATTGTTGAGCACGCCGCACCTATCATGATAGCACCCCTAACTATAAAAATACTACAGAGCTTGGCTCACACAAGGACAAGTATGCGCAAGAAATAATCGAAGCATTTAAGATCAAGAATGCCACAGACAATATTTTAGAGCCCTCGTTGTCGCTATCGACATTAGCAGCTGCAACTAATAGCGCCAGAGTCCTCATAAAAAAGTATTTTCCAATTTTTTTCCTTTTCTTTCTTTTCAGGAAGTCATATTCGGCCATCTCTTTATTTTTTTCTAGCATATTTTTTTAGTATTTTTGTTTGCCCTTAATTTTTTGTGACCAAAGTGTTTTTTTGCAGTGTGATCGGCATCATATATATGTCGTTGCTCATTGAAAGAACTGTGAGTGTCTGTCCCTCGTCTATTTTCAGTCTTTTTTTATTATTTCTATGTGGACTGTACAGAAAGACTTCTCACCAAGCTCGAGAGACCGGTAAATTTTAAATTCTCCTTTTGGTAGCAGCTTCATTTGGATTTTTCTTGATAGCTATTTAGAATTTTAAAAAAAAATTGGCATACCGAAGGAATATAATCTGGGGATACCGATAATCTGTTCAGTTTTGTTAGCTCGAAAAACAGCAGAAAAGCTCTTCTTTAAAATGAGGTTTAAGTAAAATTTTGAAGAAAGGGGCTTACATAATATGCGCTCCTATAGGCCAATGTAAAATTCGCGCTTTCTAAACTCGCACGCTTCCTCTTTCGTCGAACCTTCGTCTCCGGAGCCCGTTCTCATCGAATGCGATATTTTCCCCTGAGTGCGAAGGGCGTATATGTTCGTGTTTTCGGTCTTAGTATTTTGTTTTCGGATCCCAACTACCCATGCACGAGATACAAGGTCGTGTCAAATACTGCTTAAATGATCAACTTACATTAGTAATCGAATGATTGTAGTAATCTTCTCCGCCATTGTAGTAACCATAGAAGCTGTCAAATCCTCTGTACGTAGGCGTATATTCCTTTCTGAAATAGCCAAGGTGCCACTGAAAGATAAATTAATATATTTTGTTTTGTACTATACTCAAATGGAAATCAGTTTAAGGGTAAATATCAGCCACGAGAACAAATTACAACGACAGTGATTATTAAAGTGCGTAAAACTACAGAACGGGATGGTCCGCAAATTGGGCAGTTTGTTTAGAATATTAAAAGGCGAAAATAATCTTTACTACTAGGGTGTTTAATCTAAATCCATCCAAGACTTAAAATTGCTGCTGCAGCCTAGGCATACAGTAGAGTTCCCAGCACCCCCCCCCCTCCCCCCCCCCCTCCCCCCCCCCCCTTGTTGAGCAATAATATATATATTTCGGCATACCACATTCGCCAATTGACAAATATTAACTAGATTAACTTTTTTATACATATTGGTGCACCCACCTTCCAATAAAAGTTTATAGAGCATATCGAAAACAACCCTTCATCTTGTTTTCATGGTGGCAGTCTTTTTATGCCGATTGTTTATGAGCTTTCAACAAAATTTGAATACCTCGCTTGAAGTTCCAAATTCCAACGTGACTACTCGCAAGAGAACGGCAACGTTAGTGCCATTGGTCGCTCGATGTTTTTTTTTTCGTTTTTTTGTCGCGCGCATTCTTTAAAATATAAAAACAAAAATAGAAACGCGAATGCAACAGTGAACAAAAAAACGCTAGGTGATGTTTGTCAACAAGCTCTATACCTTTTTGAATTGAAGGTTTTAAGCGAAAATTAATATTTAGAATATTAGAGAATTAATCAGTGTTAATTATTTAGTTTGGCCCATTGCAAATATCGTATTGAATTGCTGAATAGGACTTTGCTGTGCTGGAAGTAATATGTTGAGGTAACGCCATTACTGGGCACGAGATGGGCTTGTTTAGTTACGATTTAACGCACTTGTTAGAATTATAAAACTGGCTAAGAAGTAAAGTCATTTCGTTAATATTTAGCAGTGCTGGGCAAATACACTTTAAAAAGTATTCCAGAATACAAGCACTGTGATACAAGTATTTTAAAATCAGAATGCACCTACTTAGATACATTCGTCTTTACATAACGGGATATGCCTCCGTGATGAACATGTAAAACAACGGCCAAAATTTTGACCGTAGTAGAAATACAATTTTTCCCGAACGGCGGTAAACGCGGAGAGGTTCAGTTCCCGACATGTTCAAATAATACACGCTATAGTCTTCTGTTCTTGTTTCTTTATGAGCCTCCCCTTACTTTGAACGCTTTATATATCCATAACAACCATCCCAAACGCGGCTCAAGACAATCATTATCGCCTTTCGTGAACCCCGTTTCTACTGGAAGTAGACGACTACTTCCCATGTTTGACGAAAGAAGTTTACACAAAATGAGGGCCGTTTCGCCGGCAGGGTGACAGGCCCTGCAGGGAAAACACTCTTCATTTTGGGCATCATCGCCCTTAGGGTTCCCGAGTGAACCAGTTTCGGGGGAATGAACGACGATGTCGGACCTGTCTGTGCTCTTTGCCACTCAACCTAGTCTGCATGGAACCTGCCGCTTCATAAGAGAAATTAGGCCCCGCCAAAAAGTCCTTAACTCTCTATGATTTGTAGTTTCCGACTCGCCACTCGCGTTCTTTACAGCGTTCACCGCGCTGAAACGTAAAAGAGTAAGGGTCTCATGGGAGGAGCTTAGCTTGGCATTTATTCAGTGAATTTTCCCTATATCACTTGTGGGTGTTTTTTTTTTCTTTAATTATTATCAGCTTTTGGGCTTGCTCCTGTAAAGAGGGATATGTTGCGGATTTATGATATAAAGTTCGCGATCCCTCGCGCTGAAAACGTGGTTTTGAGATTTCCGTAAACCTGGACAGTTCATTATCAATAATAATAATACAAAACGATACATAAGCCAAGCAGGTTATCACGATACAAGCCATTCATTGCAAATGTATTTCGCTACATATACTCCCGAGCATCTCTAAGATGTTATCGCGATACATTTGTCTCGTGACACTGCCGTCCTATTCACAGTATTGTATATAATATTACGTTAGCCGTTACTCTCTACTTCCAATAAAAAATTAGTCAGGTTGTTGTGCTTTCAAAGGGCCAACGCGCAATCCTGAGTTCGCTGTGTTCTACAAATTTCGGTAATTAAAAATATTATAAGATTGCTTTTAAAAAGGTTGCTTGCTGTCAAAGTTCGTAACCGCAGCCTATCGCTGCCAATTATGAAGTGTAAAGCAAAACAAAACCAACTTTCGTTACATTCGGAAGTAGCGGCGACTATTTCGTTCTATTTGCAGGAAAGAAGCGAGTATCATTAGCGCACCTTTTTTTTACGAAAAAAATAGTAACTCTATTTGTTACTCAACGTAAGTAGCATAAAAACACGGACATTGGCAGCGGTCAGCTCAAACACACTGTATAGGCATTTACCCTGTAAGATATTGAGCGAGTGCCAACTAAAAACAAAACATAGTTAAGTAACGAAATTTTGTTTTGCTACGTGCCTCTGTAAAAATAGGTAACCACGATCAACTTCTCCGCTTATGGGTTATCGAATAAAGTCTTCGCAGGGCTCAAATATGGTTGCGTTTGTCCATTGCGCTCGAAAATTTTCGGGCTTTCCCTAGTGGTGAGCGCGCGCTGGCCGGACTGTGATCTGACAAGTGCGGGCTGTGAATTGCAATGGGATGGAGGCTTCCTGTTTAAAATGTCTGGCCAGTCTTTCGGCAGGTATAGTTTCGAAATTCAATGAAGCCAGCATGTAGAATAATTTTGGTAATGAGCTAAAATCTTAGATGCATAACCGTCTCCACGTAGGATATTGACATTTTGATAGTAACTATATTGGGATGGGCTTTCCGCTGCCCTTTATTTTTATAGTGGGGAAAGTGTTGGCAGGACTAACCAGATTATTTTTCGACAAGACAAATATGATCATGCTAATTATTAAAATGATAATGCCAACAGCAAAGGTAAGACGCATTGATTTATCTGAACACTAGAGGCTAAGAGTAGCTAAGTTTTTACAGCGTTATACATATTTATGTATTTCACAAACCACCTGAAAGGTATATCGTGTTTCATAGGCCTTACATAATCTTTGAAAGAAGATTGATTTCTGGGCTAAAAAGACAAATCATTTGGCTCTCAAATGTGACAGTACGATCTGCCGACCCCAATGATAATAAAATTCGTTTCTCTTCATTTTTTTTTTGTTCTGACGCATGTAGCTTCAGGTTGCTATTTTCTTCTTTTATGAGCGAGCATAAGCCCGAATGGCTAGGCCTTTGTAATGCGGTTTCGGATATTATAGCCTTTTAAAGTACCCTGCGAAATTTTGCAGTGCATTTCTGAATTGAATTGACATGCCTTATTTGTGTTGCAATCAATAAAAGAGCTGTAATAGCTGTAACGTTGGGGTAACACACCCGCTTCACAAGTAGCGGACCTGGGATCAAAGCCTGAGGATACAGCGTCGGCGGGTGATCTATGTCAAGTGTTTGAAGATATCGATAACGCTGGCGACTGGATAAAACGACTACAGAAGTTATGTGCAGTGGTGGGAAGAGAATGTAAAAACTATCGCTGCGATGAAAAAAAAAAAAAAAAGAAGCTGTACACGGCAGATTTGTTTAATCTACGAGGTTTAGGGCAAAGAAAATGGGTACGTTTTAGCTCAACATGAATGGAAGCTTCACGAGACTTCTGTTTATTCGAATTTTCTGCTGCTTTTGAGAGCTTCTAGGCGAGTTTCTCTTTGTACCGAGAAGGATTGCCACTCTCTGTTTATGTTAAAGTATTTAAAGTCACCTTTCCAATCATGTGTGTCTCGTAGCCCATGTCTTTGAAGAACTGTGGCATAACTTTCAGGTACAGCGGCAGTCCATATGGCTGGGCAACATTAGGCACAAAATCTTGAAGCCCTGAAAAAACATATTTAAATAGCGAGCTTATTAAGATTTGGGTCGCTCGTATCTGCCAACATACCTGGGGCTCTAATCACGTCCAACGCAAAGTTGGAGTCGAAAGTTCGCGGAGCGTGCCGAATGGATGCCGGCGACAAAAGTGCGAAATCATCGTCGCTATAGTCCAATCAGTTCGCTCCATGAACTTCGGCCATACTTTCTGTTGGACGAGTTCAGAGCCTCGGGTATTTGAGCGAAGATTTTAATAAATCTCTCCCCCTTCCCCCCCATACACAGAAAAAGATTAGGTTTTCGGTAACAAACTGCGAGCCACGGTAAATGGCAGATATTGGAAAAAGCATATCAATTAACTAAACCACCTGTCACATTACTAATGAATTTCTAATAGTTGAAAATTAAGAGCTGGCCCTAACTGGAAATGTGATGGACATTTTTTTTTCTTTTTAGAAAGCAAAAATTTAGGCAATTGTAAAACGATTTAGGGAACGTGCTTCTTTTCTCTGGGTTCCGAAAAGGCATCCAATTTCAACACGCCAGGGCCGTTTTCGTTTCTTCCGGGTTTTCGCGCCGCCAACCTTGCACCTGTGACACAAGTGTTAAATATGGCTCACCGCCACACTTTGCATGGGCTCAAGGTCCTTTTTAAATGGGCACTGACAGCCCGAAATTCGTATTTTGTTTTGTCGTCTGGAACGATGCAAGTTGTAGTCATAGGCACCCACAAAAATACCACAACGCGAAGCTTCCCTCACGCGCACGCGCACACGCCTCTTTTATTTTTGGCGGTTTCCTCCCTCACTTCGAAACCTCCTTGCTTCCTTTTATTTGTGATGTCAAGAAATATAGGATTGCAAAGCTTTTTAAGCGGCTTTCCTATAAATTTAATAACGGCATTTGTCAAACATATTTTTTCAACGTAATTGCTAAAGCACTACAGCCCTTTCTTTTGAAATACCGAAAATCGGAGTCCGGAGTGATTTCACCATCCTGTTTTGTTTTTACTCCCTCGGAAAACATGCCGGTGCCGCGGCGCATGCATATGTAGCACTGAGGAAAATCGCTGAGTCCGGGAATCGGACGAAGTTCTCTTTTCTTCAGGCGCCCGATGACCTTCTACTTCGAAAAGGAGATCGTCAAAAGGTTAAAACAACAGGGTTTGGTGCCTGTGAACCGTAGTTTTCGTTGCGACTCTTCTGGGGCAGTCTTTCACGCACAACTACAAAACGTGGCCCCTAACGTCCCACACAAGAGTCTACTAGGCGTTTTTTTGACCTCACACCGGTTTGAAAGACTTTTAGTTCGCCCTGAAAGGTTCCTAAAATAACTTTAAACTCGAAAGTGAAGCGTCGTCTGCTCGCAGCCATAGGCGGCCCACACGGAGGACAGCGGTTCTTTTAGGAACGCAGAATAACTACACTCAGTGTGAACGGTTCGAAGCCATGAGAGAAACTCGAGTTGCAGGACGACTCAATGTTTGCCGTCACTGCACTGGCGGGGATAGCGCGGCAACTTCAAATTCAAATTTTTAAAAAGGTTTTTTTTACTTCACAAATACTGAGTTTCGAATTTTGATGGCAATGTCCAGGCATCGTTTTTAATCGTTCCGCACAATAAAAAGATTATGATTTTGACCTGTAAGGGCCCTTTAAATATACTGCATACTGTTTCGGTGGTCTTCATTGAGGCTCAGCACGTTTCTAAGTATTATCATTAGCACAAATTTTATTTGTAAGTTGTAGTGAACTAGTTAGGTAATTCCCCTGTTTTTGTTGTTTTTTTTGTTTTGTTTTTGGTTTTACAATCACTCACGTCTTACGTAGAAGGCAGTCTGTTCTCGAAAAGTGATTTTTGTTCTCAACCATCTATATTTATAGATAGTTCCATGTCTTCGCTGAAACACCAGGTATAGCGCGTCTCTAAAGTTGTTTCAGCTATGAAATTTCAAAAGCGACAAATAATTCTGTTGAACTAAGCCAGCCGCAATTTCCTTGAAATACGTTTCATAGTGATGGGCTCAGGCACAGAAAAATTCAAAACAATGCGTATTCAGTCTAAGCAATACGAAAACAACTCGAAGAAAAACTATGTTTTGATCATTTTGTTCTTAGCCCGAGACTGAGGCAGGAAAAGAGGAAAGTTTCAAAGTAGAAGAAAAATGAACAGTCGAGGACACGTGTCTAACACAGCCTGTGTTAGAGACGTGTCCTCGACTGTTCATTTTTCTTCTACTTTGAAACTTTCCTCTTTTCCTGCTTCAGTCTCGGGCTAAGAACAAAATGGTTAACATCCACCAGCTCGCCTGCGCAATCACTACATTATTATGTTTTGATCCTAGAAAATCTAGCATCGCAGAGTCAACGTTGAATTCCAAGCTCTTTTCCATAAATATCCCGTGACAAACAGCGTTTTAGATCAATTGTTTTTATGTCAATTACTGGTCTATGATATAGTGCTACTCAATTAATGTAGATATATACGATGCAGCGTGGTTACAGGACACCTGCATATGAGCCCAAACCACATTCGGAACGTAAAGCTCCCGCGGGTTTTTGAGGAATCTCGAAAACTTGGTTAGAAAAGCACAGAAGTTAAAGCCTGCATAATCTAGAATTCAGCACGTAAAGATAACCGCGAGTGTAAAATGAGAACGCCCTTGCATTTAACAAATTTTTCTGAGCTATGAGTTTTGCCCATGCTAATTTCTTAATTGAACCACAACGTTCAATTTTTTTAGGCCGACAGATTTTATATTTGGTAAACATATATAAAAGAAGTGCGCTGTTCACGAACATAAAAAAATACCTGCGTTGAAGAAATCCCGGTGTTTCAAATTAGCCATTGAAATAAAGTATATTTTGCTCCGAGATAGCCTTTACACGGCTATCTCAGACCGTAGTTTTCCAGAGAGCTGGTCTATTCTCCGAAACGTCTATGTCGACCAATTCATGATAAACGTAGCCCGCCATCAGTAATTTACCGTGCTCTACCTTACTTTGTTAGCTGTAACAAGCAACTTGTTTGTTATATGTGCACCGCGAAGCAGCTACTTCCTAAACCAACGTGCTTTCCCGGTAAGGCGGGCAGCGCTATTTCAAAATGTATTCGCACTCCCTTAGTATCGGGGATACAGCGACATCGCCGCCTACTCTGATTGGCCAGCTCCGCACCGGTGACCAATTGCAGAAGTCGGCGATTTCCAGGCCCTTTGGTCCCTCTTCGTCCCGCCGGGCAGTTCAGGGCCCTGGAGAGTTTGTTTTTCTGACCAGGCAGAACTAAACGCCGATCTTGTTTGTATTATAATTTACATTCCAACACAAATAATGTATATTAACTAGATTAAAAGCTAGTGCGTTTAAAGTCTTTGAAGTGTAGAGCATCGTTCTATGTTTGATCACGCGATATCACCCGCAGGAGTTACTGGCATCTACTGAAGCAGGGTTGGAAGTTCAGCCAACCTCACGTAGAGAAACGGTGACATGGGAAAGAGCCTTAAAAGAAACGTAGTGCTGTATTTTGTGCAAGGCAACTCGAGAGGCTAGCCTGAGGCTCACATCCGACACCAGTTTTGCGGCAGCGTTCACGTAGGGCTCGTGTCAAATCAGTGAGGATGCGAGCGCTGTTTCCGCGTTTGAATGACACTCCTGTTCAGTCAATGAGGACAAGAGTTCCCGAGGGACTCTGACGCAGCACTCGTATTTTCGTACAAAGAGAGCGCCAAATGTGAAACGGTTAGTTTCCAGCCGTATTGTGCATTGCATGTTAAAATTCTAGTCCAGAGAAGGGACGTGACATGTCGATGTGCAAGAGCTCTGGCCTTGAACGATGAACGATGATGAGGGTCGACTCTGCGAGGCAAAGGCAGCGAATTATGCAGGGCGAAGAAGGCAACGTCACGGGGTCTATCATATTTTTGTACGTGCGCTATGACCTGGTAAGTGAATCAATCACAGTGAATACGCAGTGACGTCGGGTTAGTAGCCGCGTGTGTCCGTTCCGTGTTTGTATAGGCTTTGGCCTGTGCTTTCACGCACGATGAAAAAAAGTGAAGCAAGTGAAGCACTGTAGTAAGTGGGATGCCTCTGAATACTCTGTGCCAGTTTTGAGTAAAATGTCCGCAGAGCTTAAGTAATAGTATGTTTTTTTTTAATCTTCTATACTCACTGGGGGTGTACAAGCAAGACATTTGGTATTGTATACCTATATCAAAAATCGACGGAGCCGTGAGCAGACAACCAGCTAGATATGCGTTAATACGCGTTTGACAGATACACTTTACCTATATTGTACTTTAGCTAATTAATGGCTAAGCGATTTCCTGAAAACACAGCAGAGATGCTCGTTTGGTACGGCGGCCTAATAAAGTGAAGCTCTTTAGGAAGAGGAATAAAATGTAGACACATTGCAAGAATTCGAAATTTTACCATTGTGGATTGGATACAGTCCTGTCATAAGCGCGGCCCTTGATGGTGTGCAGAGATGCTGAACATAGTAGTTGTTGAGGATGACGCCGTCTCCAGCAAGGACGTCCATGTTGGGAGTAGGAATTTGGGGGGATCCGTGGAAGCTAACATCGTCCCATCCCTGAAAGGGTACCGAAACGTCGTAAGAAATGAACAACTCGACTCGAAGTCAGCACAAAGATTAGAATAACAATGTTGTTGCTAGGTACGTTTTCGTCAACGTTTATCGTTTTCCTGCGGGGGAAAAAGTGTCCTAAACTGCGTCGATAATCAGCGCGAATTCGATTTGTGTTTTAGGAAGCAGATTTTGTGTTTCTTCTATAGATGGCTTGCACGCAACAAAATTGCATTTTGCTGATGATAATATTTAATTGATCCCTACGAAAACAACAAACGAAATGACCCATAAGTTCATAACGTAAATTGCAGAAGGTGTGGTCAACAGAATGGCCCCCCACAAGGGCCGCTGAAGGTACGTAAGTACAAGCCATATAAAAAGAAAATTTTGCGCATTAGAGAATAACACCGAAAAAAATGACCATACGTCTATGTGGGGTAGAGGGGCTACATCACTTTTAAGAATATGGTGCACACTCATCAAAGGGTATTACTATTAAGCATTATGTCATGCAGAAAGCCATTTAATTTTCCGATTTTTGTGACCAGAATATTGGGTAGTACTGGCGTTGATAATACGTTTTATCAATACATACTGATAGAGTGTATCTTGAAATATTATTGCAAACGTTTGCGTGCACTGGCTCACGCTTACGCTTCTGCATTCAATGCAGTAATTTAGTTTTCGACTGATGTATAAAATCAAATCAGATATACTCGGCCAGCACAACAGCAGCCATACCAGCCGCTTACACCATCCCACATTGTCCATTTTCTGTGACAAAAAAAAAATGAAAACAAAAGTTGCCTGTGCAAGAAGTGCTCAGAACTCAGAACGATTATTTTCCCCAAGTTTTAAAGATATATTATAATTATTCGCCATATATCTCACGTTTATCACTTTTTAAAGACACTTTCAATGTGCAATAAAGGAACAAGACACATATTACCTAAGATCCAGAAAGGTCACCAGGCATGTAATTTTGTTTTGCCCTGTCTATAGTACAGTTTTTTATGTGTCACTTTCTTATATGTGCACCCAAAGTGTCCACTGTGTCTTCAGTTCGCTAAAGACACGCAATTTACCAAAACGACACGCTAAAGAATTAGAAAAAAAACGCAGGTTATAGTTATCTGATGGTCCGCATCATTTTATTGCGAAACTCAACGCGCTAAGATCAGCCTGTTTTTATCATGATCATGGCCCATGCCACTTAAATTCCGAATAGGCAGGCGTTGGTCATTTCACAAAAGTCCTCAAAATCTAAGATTAAAAAAGAAAAAAAAATCGATCCAGTCACTGCTAGCGTATAAAGGCAGAGGAAGGCGGCGCTTCCTGCTTCGTGATTCGTTCTTTGGCGTTCTCATCGGCTGAGGCCGCAGCCTTATTGACTGTGCAGTTAAAATAAAGCGCTCGTGACTCGCCACGTTGGAGGGATCGGGGAACGCTAACGGTCTGTGCCCCTTACACCGGCCGGTAGCTTTCGCCACTTAGCCAAGAAACCAAAACGAACCAAACGCATGATTCCTTTCCTCGCCTTCTGCGTCCTGTGTTCCTTAAACAATCGGCTAATGCAACCCACGAACCATAAGTGGCGAGCGCATTCATCGTCTGCAGGGAGCGTGAATATGCCCGCTGCATTCGGCCTCCGAGACTGAGAGTGCAGGACCACGCTGTGCGGACTTTTCCCCTCATATTGACCGCGATAGTAGAAAAATGCGGTGTAAAATGAGACGTTTTAAGTTTTGCATCATCTGTAAGCGAATCCCAAAATGGAAGTATCTTGCCACTTTAACGACTACTGTCAGAGCATGTCCGCTTTACTTCATATTAAATCTGCCATTGGTGGAAACATGCGAATGTAAACAAATGCGCGGCTATCGTTTTTGTGTCGACGAGCCGCCAAGATATGAGTTTGACATGCGTGCAGTTGAGTTTGAAAGGCCTTCTGTTCCAAGATATGCTCTAACTTCATTTGCCTGTTTTGTTTGCTAACCGTGGATGAAACTCTTCTGCCTCAGGTTTTACGGTTACGATGATATAATTGTTTAAATACGAGTATAAGAAAGGTGCAAAAAATGAAAATATCAATAGCGACTCGAGTAAACTTTTTTTTTTTAATCTGACGTTTGCTCCAGAGCTATATTTCTTTTTTATCTTTTAATATTTAAAATGGTCCAGAGATAAAAAAAAACGAAAAACAGCTAAGGTTTCTTTGGTGTATTCGATCTATTCGCACTGCAATCAAAACCTTTTAGATACATAATGATACACTTTACAGACGGGAAGGAAACTCACCAAATGTAAAGGGAAAAAGCTTTATAACGGTCAATTAGTATTCCAACCACTGGTTATTTCCCAAGAGCTGGAAAAGAACTCATCCAGCATATACTGTGTATGCAGAAAACTCTTTTTGGGCTAACGTAGAGCGATGTCCAAAGTATAGTTTACAATTACTTGAAATTAAACCGTGCGGAAAGATTATCCAGAGTGAAGGAAATTATGCGCTGACTTTTTGTTCCGTGAATTAGCCGGTAAAGGGGAAACGCTCTGCAAACCGCGCGACAGGTACCAAACATGACTCGCAATGCCTGGTGCGCGAAAAAAAGAGAATGAAGAAAAGCACCGCCCGGTTCTGTGTGTATCCAGTGCATGGCGTGCGACGAGTTGGCTCACGAAAATTTTTAATGATTCCACAGGGCATACTTCAAATGTTCAGGGTGCAAGCAAAAAGCTTTCCTATTTTTTTCCCCAGCGGGTGTAACATTTTGCCCCGCAGCTGTATTGTTTTGTTCCGGGGTCGAGAAAAAATTACAGCGAAGCTGTTTATGGCTTGAGTTCCGTGGATTTTTCGTGTGCAATGACAAAACGGTACGCTCGCGCCGCCGCACGCGCCGCACGTGGACGCCTTCTCCGTGTGATAGTTTCCTCTATACTGACAAAGCATGGCAGATTGTCACGAGAGGCGGCCGCCGAAATAGAAAAGCAGGAGCGGCAGACAACGAATAAGGGGATAGCCACGTGACTGGCGCCCCGCTGCGGCAAGACACCGAAGCGCACTTCTCCTGAGCAGACAAGTGTTTTTCGGGTCCTCGCCGCAGCAAAGGTTGTGCGCTGACGTCCAGGTTCTTCAAGAAATGATTATTTGATGTTCTGTGCTAGAAGATTCTCCAGCTCCAAATCTGCGACCGAGCAGCCTATGGCTCCGTCGCCAGGCTTTGTGAGTATAGGGGAGCATGCGCCAGTATGAAATAAAGTAAATAGCCAAAATAAAGCGTTGACAAACGCGCGTGCAAGATGCCGTTTGTTTTATGCTTTTGCTATAGAACAGTTACAGCTGTAGACGCCGGCACGTGCGATATGTGTAATACAGCATTTTCCTTGATGCTTCGGTAACTTAGCAATAGGTCTATTCAGTAGATTAATTATGAATGGGCACCATCTTCAGTTATGTCATAAAGGTTTCGCAAAGATTTCCCGCTTTGCGAACCTCGTCGGCCCCGGCTACGCTCACACCGCCCTATATTAACTGCCGCTTCAAGCGGTTACGCGCATAGTTTACTTCCGTTCACCCGGGGTGGCGGTCCCGTCGCACGTCTATACTTTCCGCCTGGTCGCGCTACCGTCGCGCGTGTCTAATTTCCTTCGGGTCCGGGGGGGGGGGGGGATTGTGCGTCGTGAGCTAAAGAGCTTCGCTGGTCATTCACCTTCACAGAACGGCATGGCTCATGATGTTTTATTTTGAATGAATACATTGTAATTCTACTATCAGGAGTCTCATAATTTTAACTGGCCGCAATGTCAAGACGTCAAAAAAGCTTTCCTATTTTTTCTGGATTTTCTATAAAAAGAAAAAAAACACTGATTTAAACATTTTCGTTTCATTTTATTCGCCTTACCGTATAACATTTCTAGAATTTTTAGAGCACGGTCCTTTCTAGAGTATCCTCACATGTGGTTTTTAAATTAAGTATAAGCAGTTGCTTCTATATATTCGCCAACTCATTTTTGATAAGCAGGAAGGATCACGCGAAAACTGTTGGCACTTAGAAGGCTACGTCTGTTTCCCCATATAGGGGCTGTGTTCCAGTATTTACTCCGTCTTACACTCCGTCTTACATGTATGGTGGGGGCCATGTAGTATGGTGGGGGCCTGAGATTTACGTGTGAAGAGCCAAAGGAAAGGGCTCAACAGTTCTTTGATTTGACGACGTACCCGGGTGATAACACTATATGTTGGTCGCTTTGCCCGTGCTCCAAAAAGGCGATACTGGATTTTAAATCTTCCCATTCGACGGTGGTTAAGACGTCCTAGCGGTGTCATGCCTTGGGTCAGCCCGCAAAAAATCATGTGTCCACAAGATAACCGACAGTTTTAGAAAACAAATTAGTAGATTGAAGAAATCGGGGTTCCTGTCGACTCTCTTGGCGGAAGTAGCCAGTTCACTTCTTAAGAAAGCTAAGGGGGTGGAGAGGTCGAGGCCGGAAAGAGAAAAGAAGCGTGTGGTAGTTGTCCCTACCTCCACCGCGTTTCCCATAACTTAAAACAAGTTGGTGGCAGATATGGAATTCCGGTAGTGTTTTCGGCGCCCAAAAAAATAGGCCAGATGTGTTCCAGGATTAGTGCAGGGATAGTTGGGCGTTCCAGCGCGAAGTGCACCAAGGCGCACAGAAAGGATTTTGTCCCTTGTGTTTCGTGTGTGGTATATAAAATACCTTTGTCGTGTAATAGGTGCTACGTGGGGCAAACAGGAAGATGTCTGAATGATAGATTACGTGAGCACTCATATTCGCTCGGAGCTACGGTAGGGGGGGCTTTTGCCCGTTCATTGCAGAGATTGCCAGTGTCGGCCCGACTTTGGCACAGTCACCGTTCTGGGAGCGCACAAGGATAGGGTGACAAGAGAGATCATTGAGGCCTTCCACATTCTGTGTCATGGTCATTCGTGTGTAAGTGAACCGTCATTGACGCTGTCAGCCAAAGAAATTTCGTTCCTGCGGCAAAACATGAGTCACGTAGTGAACGGGTAGGTTATTGACAAGCTTCACGGTTGGCGAGAGTGGTCCTTTGTTTTTGTGCAATCTTTTAAGATACTGTGTATGGTTTTTCTGTCTTTGTTTCCTTTATTAAAATTCTTCAGTTGCGAGTACAGCATTGTCCTGTCGTGTTTGTTCCTCTTCGTAGTCCATGTTTTCTGAGCTGTTTTCCCCATCATGTATAACGTCAACCAACTGGCCCAGTTCTCCACCTTATTTGAAACGATTGTTCGAGGTTCGATGACACTGAAGGAAAGAGCTCACTTACCAGATCATCCACCAGCATGAAAATAATGTTCGGAGGCTTCTTCGACGCTGATACGCCCAGCGCGAGGAAGATCAGCAGGAAAACCATTCCAGTCAACTCTTGATGGGCGCATAAAGGTGATATAAGAATATATAAGCGTGTGATATATCGGGGGGGGGGGGGGGGGCGGTTTGTGTAAGTTTCCAGCACTGAGGCACACTTTTATTTTTATGTTTATATCAAACGTAGTTATGTTCTAGCACCAAGCGTTAGAATAGCAAGTATATTACTTAGAATGTCTATATATATATATGCGTGTGCCTTGGAAAATCTAAATGTTAACACGAAAATACGAAAAGAACGAAGCGCCTAAGAGAAAGGCTAACTTCGAGACGTAGGGAACGTGATCACGGCAATCAAATATATGTAGAACGGGTGAAACACTGCCGCAAATCAGGGTATAGTTACAAAATAAAGGCTATTTGAAGCACATTACAGAACGGTAACTTTGCAGTTTAAAGAAGAAAAAGAAAAACGAACACCAAGCTCCTCTCACAGAGTCTGCTACTCTTGCGACCTTCGCAGCACCAGCGCTGGGGAGGATTCCACTCGCTTCCTGTTCAGCTCTCGCTCTGCTGAGGTATATGGAGTGGGAGACTCTAAAAGGAGCTTGCCGTGCTTTCCTTATCGTGCACCAGGATATTGAAAACATCTTAAAGGAATCCTGGCACGTCCCTTCGATTTTCCACGGTCTTCTCGGCTAATGGCGCAACCGGATTGACGGACGAGCGAGAAAGCTGTTCGGGACTCGCCATGCCCGGTGTTTCTTAAGCTGACTATAGGAAAGCAATTTATCGTAATGCTCGACGATTTCTGGGACTACTATCCGAATTCGAATGGTTATTCTAAACGGAACATGTACATAATTTTAAACATCACACGAGGTGCCACATAAGACATTTAAATCCATGGTTCGTGGTCCTGTTTTGATGGGATAATGGCTTGGAAATTAAATGCACATTTTACATTCGAGCTACAAAATCCAGGAAAGCCATTTCTCGAGTAGTTTTGAGGTGCACTTCGTCAACTTATACCACCTCCAAGTTACCTTCTATGCGAGCGATCTAAAACCGGTCTTATCATTTTATTCTTGAGCAGTAAACTCGTGTACACGTTAATACCTTGCGAAGAGCGTCCCGAAGAGTACAAGAATGCTTGGTCACGAACAATCTCTAGCAAAATATTAATATGTTAAAATTACCCAAACTGTAAGCTTTTAATATTAAAAATATAACTTTTTAGTTACAATTATTTTGTAATAAGCCTTAAATATCTAAATTGCGCATTATTTATCCTTTTAGCATGTGTTTTGCTTTAGTAGTGACTTATGTACATGTATGACTTGAGTGAGTATGCGAATAGGAAACTCAAACATTTAACTTAAACATACTTTCTCAAGTTCACGTCGCTATTAAATGCACAACTAATATACTTTTAGTCGACTTGTTTCTCAAGTACCCACAGCAAAGGAAACTATGCTTTCTAAGTTTATTGGTCACTATATATCGAAATTATATTTCGAAGCTTACACTTTAACTATATCACCACGCAACGAGCAAACTAATTCAGTAATGCCTTTCTGCGAGGTATGCAGCATCGTGCTAAGCACTAGCAAAACACAGGTGTGTGACGCGGTTATCCAATGATTGCGATTTCCGCGGGATTTTCAGCAAACACAAAAGCAAAGTTTAAGGTCCTTCCTGCGCACGTTTGTTTTATGCAGTAGATTATACTTCTAAATCTATATACAAGCGCTTTCAGCTGCGCGTTAAGCTAACAATTTCAGCGTTCGGCAATTAGATTTGAAAGCGGTATTTGCAGACTCAGTACAACTGCCTCAAAACTACACTAGGTAAAATTTATGCCCAAATTCATCTTTGATACAAGCTTTAGCTGGAAAACTTTGCTGATTGGTTATGTGGCTTAGTTTGTAATATTTACAGATAGTTGTGCCACTCACTATTTATTCGGCTATATATTTTACAAGTACAAAACACCACGGATAATTGAGTAACCTCTCAATCTAGTATAAAATAAATAAAAGCAGAGCTTTTTGTTGAATTGAGGAAACGGAGTTACTAAAGAGATATTTCAAGCGCTTCCCAGTGCCTTCAAAATCTGCGTAAAGACTTTGCCCGTAGCAAATTAAAACGGACATATTGTTAATATGATTGAGATAAGATGACATGAATCATTTCCGTTTAACTTCGAGCGTTTAAAAAAGCACAGCGCAAGTAGATCACGACTGTCTGTCGCTGAATCCTAAATCCAAAATGAGATAAGATGACATGAGTCATTTCCGTTAACTTCGAGCGTTTAAAAAAACACAGCGCAAGTAGATCACGACTGACTGCCGCTGAATCCTAAATCCAAAATTTGGGGCATAAAAATGGGCAAACCAATGTCGGGGATTGCAAACCCCATAACATAAAGCATTAAGTCCAAACATTCAGAGGCACACAAAATTCATGTAAAAGCTTACGTATTTGCTTCCTTACACTTCAGCGAGATGCGTCTCCTAAGCACTTGTGCACATATGAGAACCGCTCGATATATTTAATCTGAATACCGTTTACGAAAAAAAAATGCCAAGACCTACTTAATAATTTGGCGCCAATGCATGCTATAAATTTGAGGCAGACATGTCAAAAAAGATCGCACACGAACACGCTAGACGTTTTCGCATGCGACCTCTTTACCGCGGGCACAGCTGCTATTGTTTCAATCCCACTGTTGAGGTTAAGGTCCAAACCGCATAACCTATTATGTAGCATCACCGTTCTACATAGAAAAAAAAAGCAGGGCGCCAACCACCTGATAGTTTTCTGTACTGGTGAAGGAGGACTACGCTAGGATTTCAACTTAAGCACACATGAATAAAGGTCATCTTGTCAACTCTCAAGAGCAATGCTATCCGAAGACAACTGAGCATAATTCAAGCAAATTTCAATTCACTCTCTTCTTAATATAACATCCGCCACTCAATTAAAGGAAAGATGGACGTTTTTTTCTAACTTTTTCTACTATATTTATTGAAAACCTCAAAAATGACGGTGCAAGGTGTATGCCGAGCATGTTATTAACATTGCGCACTCAGTGGAACTGCAACATTTGGAAATAAGAACGGCGAAGAACGCATCTTGATGCAACAATCTCAAATATTATAACTAGAGCACTGTGTTTCTTAAACAATCAGCGATTATAGCTACGTTCGTGCCAAGCAAAGAAACCAGGAAAACGAGAGAAAATCTGAGAAAAGTAGCTTTCTAGAAGCTATCGCTTGTGAACATATCCTCCAGTTCATGTGCATTGTAAAAGGCTGCTCCACGCACCAAGGCGATTCAATGGCAGATCCCTCCACAATAACCCACACATCATGGACGTTCATTTTTTAGAATGTCAGTGACAGCATCTTTTTATGGCTTTCTCTGCTCCTCTATCCCAGTTCTTTTCTGGCTGAAATCTTATGCTCGGGGTGCATTTGAACCAGCTGTGTTTGCCAGCAAAATGGGAGTGGAAAAAGGTTATGGGTAGAACCTGAAGTTCACTCGCATAATAAAAAACAATACCGAAAAAAATTAAAATTAGTTTTATTTATTAAAGTTTTAAATATGGTATTTATAGTTTATAAATGTTCCATATAAATATTTATTCAAGTTTATATGATTCCTACCGGTCACTTCTGCTATGGTAGCCTAATTTCAATATAAAGATTACAACGAACAGAAACTACATTTGTTTTAGATAAAAGCCTAAAACGTTCGATACTTCTAATAGGTGACAGATGAAGAGTTCAGGGTGAGGGAAATGAAGGGCAGAATTCGCCTGCTTAGCAGTGTAAGCGGGTAATAGGGCCACCTCAGGCAGAATCGATCTGCCTTTATCTCTGTTACACTAGACCTAGTGTTTAAAAAATAAACAAAACCTAAACCTAAGAAGAAGAAGTCAGGCAGAATTCTGGAGGAAGGGGGACGTTTCCGCCTCTCCTTGTGGTAGATGAACTGCGCCGCCTTCTTGAGTTTTGGCTGAGCAGCACCTGCTTCCGCTTTCAAACGGATATCTCCATCCAAAAAAGCGGAATCGCAATGAAAGCGTTCATCTCGGTCGTTAATCTAACAAGGGAAGCCGTTGAACCGAGGGCACTACAGTCATTTGCCAGAAGCCCCAAAGTGTTCGTGCACTACACGCATGATTGCTTCAGTATCGTCAAAACGACAGAAGTTAGCAACTTTCTGGAACATCTAAACTCCTTCGAATCGGCCGTTCAGTTCACAGCAGAACGCGAAAAAGACCACAGCTTACCGTTCCTAGATGTGCTTGTCAAGTGACACGAAGAGCATCTGACGTTCGCAGTATACAAAGAACCGAACTATACTGGACGTTACCTCTATTTTGACTCATAACCCACTACAAGTCCCAAACTGTTGATGGCTACTACCCTCCTGTCCAGAAACAAAAACATCTGCTCTACAAAGAGAGAGAGAAAAAAAAACGAAGAGGAAAGTGTCATCGCCGACCTAAAAAAAGAACGGCTGAGCTTGATCTGTTGCGTGAGCCAAAGTCAAAATAGTGGTCGTAGGAACCAGCAGCCTCAAAATAGTACGCAGTCCCGCCGGAACATCCGCATCTGTGTTCCTTACATAAAGGGGACAAGCGAGGTATTGGCGCGTATGCTGGCAAACGAAGGTATTCAGGTGGCTCACAAGCCGGTATCGAAGCTTGAGCTCCTGATGCCACGACACAAAGACCGACCTCCTAAAAAAAAAATGCACAAGGGGCTGTATACCATGTTCCGCGCTTTGAATCCTCCGACACTTACATCGGCGAGACAAAGAAAATCCGTAAAAAATACTGCAAGACAAACATTATGGGTGCAAATTTGACCAGGAACGGAGGGTGGTCGCAGAGAACTCTGACAACAACGACCACCACATCGATTTTGACACCACCACAATAATAAGCGTTATAAGCTACACGCACCAGCGACTTCTCATATAATCCCGGCATATCCAGAATACGGCAGGGAATATAAATAGGTCGAAAGACAT